AAAAAAAAAAGGAAAAAAAAAAAAAAAAAAAAAAAAAAAAAAGAAATTAACAAACAAATATAAGAATAAATAAAGAAGAATAAACATAAATAAAAGGAAGAAAAAGAAGGGAAAAAAAAGAAGAAAAAAGAATAAATAAAAAAAAAGAAGGAAAAAAAAAAGAAAAAAAGGAAGAAATAGTCTTACCTAACAATTTGCTTAACCCCAATTTATATAACGCCATCTGGGGATCGGATCCCTTAGCAGCAGCAGCAACCCCACACTTTTCTTCTTCTTTCTGGTTGCTGCTGCTGCTGCTGCTGCTGCTGCTGCTGCTGCTGCTGCTGTTGCTGCTGTTGCTGCTGCTGCTGTTGTTAGACCTATTGTTGTTGCTGTTGCTGCTGTTATCGTCACTCCTGCCGTTGCTGCTGCTGTTGCTGCTGCTGGTTGTGTTGCTGCTGTTGCTGCTGTCATCTCTTGAGCCACTACAGCCGTTGCTGCTGTTGCTGCTGCTGCTGCTGTTTGCATCGCTGGTGCTCGTCATCGTCTGCTGCTCCTGCTGTTGTTGCTGTTGCTGACGAGGAGGAGAAGAAGCAGACTGTGCTTCTCCTGGACTATCACCACTCATCTTGATAGTTTATATTTTGGGTTTGAGGGTTTAGGGTTTATGGCCTAGGGTTTAGGGTTTGGGGTTTGGCGAGTGTATGCGGCCATGGGCAACGGGCGCTCGAACTCGGAGAAGAAATGTTGAATTAAAGCTGCCCACCCCTCTGCGGTCTGCGCATGCAGACCGGCGGCCACCCACCAAGAAAAAAATGCAAAAAACGAGAGGTAATTGTTGACTACTGCTGCTGCGCTGCATGCATGCACGAAAGCGGTTGGGTCCTCCTCTTGGCGGCTGCAGCCCCAAGACAAAGAATGCAATGATGAATTATTATAATCAGTGCATATTATTGAACTTTTTCTGTATTATATCTGTTTTTATCCGCTCCTAAGAAGAAGATCAACCGGATAAACACACCGGCATTAGACAGCAAGCATGCAGCGGCAGAAAGAAGCCAGCTGGCTCGTGTCAAGATTAGCAAACGTCCCTCATGGAGTTATTTCCTCTCGATTTCCCGAATTTCTTCCTCTTTTTCACACTACAAATGTAAAACGATTCCTCGCGACGGGTCCGTGCATGACGCGGGTTTCGGGTGTACGTACACCCCGATCTGCATCATGCACGGTCGGCGCACCCCCCTGGGTTTCAGGGGTTTGTTTCCCAAGAGTTTGTTGCAATAATCGTGGATTTTCATCAAATGCATCTTTATCTTCCGCTTTATCTTCGGAATCCTCTAAATATCCCGCAACAAATACACCAAATGATGTAGAGGATGCGGTGAAAACCGGTAAGGTTACCGAGACGGAACTTGAAGGAAACAAAGCGCTTTCGCCTTCCGCTAAGGTTTATAAGAAGGCAATTCCTCCTAATTTCGTGACGGAAACATTTTTACCGCATTTAGAGGATCAGATTATTCATATGGCTCCTTCTTTCTCTATTTTGCAACTTGGCGAGGTAGGAGGTGCATACGGCCGTTTACCGCCGATCATGAGGGAGAAAGAAGTAGAAAAGGTACTTTTAAATCATCTACGTAATAATATGAAGAATATATATACACCAGAGGAGGTAGTAGCAGTTGTTTCTTTAATGGAGCTTTTTTATTCAGGAAATGATGAACGAAGGAAGAGAAGCGGTCTTTTTTCCGCTTTTTCTAAGACAGCTAGTGGTGTAGAGAAGGATTTATTTTTTACATTAAAGGATAAATTAGAGAAACAAAAAGGATTATTAAATGGTTTATCTTTATTGAATTTATTCTCTATAGTTCGTTGTTATACAAAGGTATTATCTATAGATAATGCATTTAATCATAAAGAAAAAGAAGAAATACAATTATTTATTAAATCCTTAAGAAAAGAAATACAAAATATGGTCAAGAAACTTCATCCTCCTGAGCTTATTGCTGTTATAGGCTCAATAGCTAAATATGGATCTATAGCCTTCCCGGAGAAGCAGCAGCAGCAGCAGCAGCAGCAGCAGCAGCAACAGGAGCAGCAGGAAATGCAGGATCAGCAGCAAGTGCAGCAAGAATTATTATTAGATAGGAAGAGTATACAATTAATTATATCTAAAAATCCTCATTTTGCTATATTACCCCATTTATTACAACAGGTGGATATACACCTGAATAAAGATAATTTTTCTTTTATTCAACTTTTTTATTTGCTGCATTTATTGCAAAGATGCTCAATTAAACATAAAGGTCTATTAAATGAATGTATTTATTTATTACATTATGGTACATATAGTCCAAAACCACAGCAGCAGGAGGAGGAGGAGGAGCAGCAGCAGCAGCAGCAGGAACAGCAGCAGCAGCAGCAGCAGCAGCAGCAGCAGCAAGAACCAGAACAGCAGCAGCAGCAGCAGCAGCAGCAGCAACCAGAGGAGGAAGTCTCGTTAGATATAGATCCAGATAAATTACGACAAATGAATACATTAGAGGCAGCAGAATATATAAGAGCATTAGCTAAGCGTATACAGCGTGAGGAATTGCTGCAGCAGCAGCAGCAGCAGCAGGAGCAGCAGCAAGAGGAGGAGGAGGAAGAAAAAGAATTTGCTGCTGCTGCTGCACAGCAGCAGAATATGGTTGATCTAATGCCTCCTTCCTTGCTCATTAAAATTGCTTGGTGTTTTAAACAACTCGGAGAATTCGATAAAGTTGAAAGTGTACTCGAAAAACCTGTAAGGGTTTAGGGTTTAGGGTTTAGGGTTTAGGGTTTAGGGTTTAGGGTTTAGGGTTTAGGTATCTCGTATGGTTACAAAATATTTTTTTTTTTTTGTTTTTCTTTTCTTTGCATTTATTTAGATATTTAATTATCTTTATATCCTTCCTTTTCTTTTTCTCCCCTTATGTACTATTTATTTATTTATTTATTTATTTAATTTATTTATATAATTTATGTTTTTTTTGCAGATTCTCCGAGCTGCAAAGAAGATTGGTTGTGTAGAATTTGCCCGTCTTTGCCAAACCCTACCGGAGGTTTGTTTGCCCAAGGGTTTAGGGTTTAGGGTTTAGGGTTTAGGGTTTTAGGGTTTAGGGTTTATCTATATGATTAATAGAGATAAACATAGATAAATAATTATAAATATATAGATATTAAATATGTTATTTTGCTGTTGCTGCTGCTGCTGCTGCTGTTGCTGCTGCTGTTGCTGCTGCAGGGAGCTCCTGTATTGGATGTAATATGCAGCAGATTAGCAGCAGAAATTCCTTCCTTGCGTCCCTTCGAATTTTTATTCTTCTTTGTTGGGGCCCTTAAGATTGGCCGTCTGTACAGCCCAGATACTGCAGCAGCAGCAGCAGCTGCTGCTGCTGCTGCTGCAGCTCCTCCTGCTTCTGCTGCTGCTAGTGGTGACAATAGAGGTGATTCGTCTGCTGCTTCTGGTGAGTTAGTTTTTATACAAAATAATCAATGTAGTGCTGCTGCAGATTTGCTGCTGCTGCTGCTGCATGCATGCATGCATGCATGCATGCATGCATAATTTTTTGTGGTGTATGCATGCGCAGGTGTACCTCCTTCTACTTCATTAAGTAAAAATATATTTAATGAATTAAATATAAGAGAATTAATAATAAATTATATAAATAAAAATAAAGAAGAGTTTTCTTTATCACAAATAGATTATTTATTAAGAGCTATAAATATAATTGTACAAACAAAAGAAGAAAAAAAAGATATTCTTTCTTTATTTCCTCAAGATTTATTAAATAAATTAAAAGAAAAAGAAGAAGAAATTAACAGAATAAAAAAGAAAAAATAACTCCCTCCTTCTTCTTTATTGTACAGTTTTTTTTTTTATCCGCCTATATATATGCCACACCGTTCTAAACCCTAAACCCTAAACCCTAATGTAAACCCTAAACCCTAATATATATTTGTGCCCCTTTTACCGTTTTGTTGTTTCTTTTATAAACAAATATAAAATACTTTTAATTAATTAAAACTCTTTTTAATTAATTATTTAATTTTTTTTTTTTTTTTTTTTTTTTTTTTTTTTTTTTTTTTTTTTTTTTTTTTTTTTTTTTTGAGGTGTACGCATAATAATATTAGACAGATGAGGTGTATAGGCAGCTAATTAGATAATAGTTATATAAATAAAAAAAATAAATAATATTATTATTAAACACTAATACTAAATAATTAATAAAAGAGTACTAAATAATAAATAAATAAATAAATAAATAAATATAAATAAATAAATATAAATAAATAAATATATAAATATATATAAATATAAAAAGAAATCTCCGTGTAAAGAGCAGTTAAAAAATAGCGGAGCAGCCGCCCTCAGTTATTTAATTAAATATAAATGCTTTTCTCCTCTGTTCCTTCCATCAGCAGCAGCAGCAGCAGCAGCAGCAATAGTAGTAACTGCTGCTGCTGCTGCTGCAGCAGTTAATGTCTTATTGTTGTTAAGAAGAAAGCTCGAAGCAAATAGGCTCAACTAACGGATAGAAGAAAAAGAGAGAAAGAAAGAAACAGAAGGAGTATTAAAGGCAGCACCTGTTGCTGCTGCTGCTGCTGCTGCTGCTGCTGCAGCAGCAGCAACAGCAACAGCAGCAACAGCAGCAATAGTAACAAGTACTGATACTATTGCTGCTGTTATTGTCCCTCTCTGCCTCTAAATCATCGGATATTTATTTATTATTTATTTATTAATAAATATTATTATTATTGTATAATAAATAATAAATAATAAATAATATATATATAT